ATAAATATATACATAGCAGGTTAAAAGAAACATTTGTCCTCCCATCCTTCCTGAGGCCTGGGAATTGAAAAGTAGTGCAGTTGGGTGGGTCTGGGCAGTCTGAAAAGATGTTTCCCATAAGGTATGGTAGTTGTCCCAAGTGTCTATGGGACTGGAGGAAAGTTGCCAAGATGGTCTGCAGTCAGTCCTGTGTCTGATTTGGCAAAAGGCCTCAATTTGTCACACATGGGCCTCCCAATAAGGCTGCTTGGCTGCTTATGTCACAGTTGGGCTTTAGAGCAAGTTAAAGAGAGGAAGAGGGGCTGAGAGAGTGAGTGCGGAATACAGCATAGCAAGTACAGTTGTTCGTTACAAACCAGTCAGAATCCACCATATCCGTGAGTTTACACTGCTGTGACCAATCACCTGTCAAAAACAACAGAGGAAAATGAAGGTTTTTATTTCCAGAGTTGCCATCCATCATGGCAAGGAAGGCACAGAGCAGGTAGTACAACAGAGACAGTCCTGTACCATCATATGTGACAAACTCTGTTGGTCTAAGAATCACAGGTCGACACCCATCCTTTGTAGGAGCCAGCTTTGACAAAACTCATACGTTCTAGGGTAGGGGCGTGAGGATTAGAATTATTAGACAAAAGGAATAGAGATGTGAGAGAAATAAGAAACAGAAAAGCATTGGGAGGGACATTCAGTCAATACTGAATTCACCTTGTTTATTATTATATACTTCACTCCAAAAAGGGGAAGGGGGAGGCAACAGACTTCGTTAGCATGATACAAGGAATAGACTTGAATTCTCCAACCTTTGGCCCAGGTGGAACAGATCTACTTAACACTCAAAATACTAATTAACCACACCTAGGTCAGAATCTCTCATTTGTAACCACACCTGTTAACAATTTTAAGCAAGCAAAAATAAGCTCAAACTCCCTTTCAGACACGGTGGAATAGGCTCACATTTTTGGGTCTCCACAGTGGACTGAACACAGGGATGAATACTGAGAATCACTAGGAGCCATCTTGAAGGTAGACTCCGCAGATAGCTTACCACAGTGTTGACTTTGGGATATCTTGTTGGAATAGTCCCAGACGGTACATGCTGGAGATTACCCGTGTGCCAGTGCACACAGGAAGACACAAGAAAGAAGTCAGTTTTTATGTACTTTATGAAAAGAACCTTTCTGTGTTTCTCAGTCCTACGCCTATGTCTTCACCTTTTTCTGTCTAACAGTAAATCAGTATCTGGGTTGTGTGAATTGTAGACAGCAGTTCTTTTACACGTGTCCACTTCTTCCGGACATGTAAAAGGTGGAACCCTGTGCTGAGGGTCCCCGAAGACTGCTGGCCTGCTAAGCTCATGGGTGCATCATGTAGCACTGTGCTCAGTGGGAGATCTTGTCTCAGAGGTGGAGAATGAACATAGAGGAAGGACATTGGACTGACTTCCGGCCTCCACAAGCACACTCACTTTTCTTACCCAAAGCAGTCAGAAACAGTATTGATAAATCTTTATATCTTACAGGGTTCTGTCTCCAGAGACGGACCCTTATTCAGAAAAAAAAAGACACAATCCTGTCTTGTTTTTGTTCTTTATACTGAAACTTGTGAAGGGAGATCGTTGACTACAAATGATTTATTTTTATTTATTTATTTTGGTTTTTCGAGACAGGGTTTCTCTGTAGTTTTGGAGCCTGTCCTGGAACTAGCTCTTGTAGACCAGGCTGGCCTCGAACTCTCAGAGATCCGCCTTCCTCTGCCTCCCAAGTGCTGGGATTAAAGGCGTGTGCCACCACTGCCCGGCTGATTTATTTTACTGATTTATTTTATTGGTCTTGTATTAAATTGAAATTTTGTGAAAGTAAAAAAAAAAGGCACAAAAGATTTATAACAAATATGCATATTTCCAATTCCCAAAATTTAAAATGTAAAGATGTCAAATTTTCTTCACTTAAAATCATACAGGAGAGCCAGAAGGTGGTGGTGCAGGCCTTTGATCCCAAGCACCAGGAGGTCAAGGCAGGCTGATCTCTATGAGTTCAAGGCCAGCCTGGTCTACAAGAGCTAATTCCAGGACAGGCTCGAAAACCACAGAGAAATCCTGTCTCGAAAAACAAAAACAACAACAACAACAAAAATCAAAACCAAATCATACAGGAGAAAAACTAACACCCAAAGTCCCACTCCTTTTAACTAGCAGGGACCCATCAGGGTTGGTTTGTTTACTCTCATGTCCTTGTTTGACACTTTACATGTGTAGTACATAATTTCCTTTTGTGCATTATACAAATATACTACATGTTTTCTACCTTCCTCAAAACTCAGGACAGTTACTGTAATCTGTCAAGTTTATAAAATCGTTTGTGGTAACTGCTGTCAACTAACAAATTGTGAAGTTATACTGCACTAGCCACCGTTTCTCTTTCTTGTAGACAGTTTCTGGAACTAGCTCTGTAGATCAGACTGGCCCTGAACTCGCAGAGATCTGCCTGCCTCTGCCTCCCAAGTGCTGGGATTAAAGGCGTGCGCTACCATCGCTGCTACCCAATATCTTGGTAGATGCTTTTCCATGAACAACATTGTGGGTTGACCCATATGACATCAAAAGAGAAACCATTGAATATAGTTTTACATAAACCTTGTTTATATGGCAACTTAATTTTTTTTTAGCATCTGATGGCACAATTGTTTTTATTTGCTTTTACCTAAAACTTAAGAAGTTAGACATTATTTTCACATGTCCTTTGATCTTTTGAAATTTCTCCAAATTTTTCACATAGTCTACTTACTCAGACCAGGAAAAATTAAAATATTTAAGAACTGACCAGGTATGAAGTTACATGCCTTTAATCCTAGCACTCAGTTGGTAGAGACAGGCAAATCTTTTTTAATTTGAGGCCTGCCTGGTCTACTTAGTGAGTTCCAAGACAGTCAGGACTACATAGAGAAACTCTGTCACAACAACAACAAAATTATGAATATGCTCAGAGGATAGGAAGTAAGTAGGTAATGGAGTCTAAAATTCTAATGGGCAAAGCTATTTAGAAGCCTACCTTTCATATGGAAAAAAGAGAACCGGTGGCTAGTGCAGTATAACATCACAATTTGTTAGTTGACAGCAGTTACAACAAACTGGATTTTATAAACTTGACCAGATTACAGTAACTGTCCTAGTTTTGAGGAAGGTAGAAAACATGTAGTATATTTGTATAATGCAATAGAAAGCAGTAGTATGTATCACATAAGGAAATTATGTACTACATATGTAAAGTGTCATGGAAATGAGAGGATACATACCATAACAAACCCTTTACTAGCCAGTTTCCTGCCATTCTGTTGGGCTGTAACCTGTGTGATTTTGCCACTCACAGGCCAAGTCGTTCCTCTGCCCTTTAAGCTAGGCTGACTTTCCCGCTCCTGACCTGTCAAATGTGGTAGAAGGGACGGTCCAGCTTGCCTTCACTGCCTGAGACCCACTGCTGGCTTACTGAAGAGCCATGAAGTCCTAGACACCAGCTAGCACTAGTTGAGAGGCATGACTAAAACCATGCTGGACCCAACTCAGCTTCACTGCCAGTTAAAGCTGTGTAAGTGAAATTAGATGAGACCAGCAGAGGAAGTCAGCTTACATAACCATGAGAAAAACAGATCATCACTTAAGCCATTAAACTTGGGGGTGGCTTGCTTTACAGCAAGCAGTCAACACAACCGTGCTTTTATTTGCCAAGAAATGGGGACATTTGGAGGAAAGTACAACTTTATAATACTCATGCTAAAAAAATATTCTAAAAACTGGCCAGTCCTCAAAATCACATCTTGTGGGATACAACTTTAACAGTTTAGTAAACCAAGTCGCATCAAAATATAAACTGGGCCTGGAAATATTGCCCAGTGATAGACGTAACATGCCTAACATGTGCAAGGGCCTGAAGTAATACAGTTACAAAATAATTACAGATTTTCATTAGAAAATTTGACTGTAAACCAAGAACAATGTATTGCTCAAAATACAAAATGAAAAACAAAGATGGCACTATAAAGCCACCCTCCATGCCGGGCAGTGGTGGCGCACGCCTTTAATCCCAGCGCTTGGGAGGCAGAGGCAGGCGGATCTCTGAGTTCAGGCCAGCCTGTTCTAGAAGAGCTAGTTCCAGGACAGGCTTCAAAACTACAGAGAAACCCTGTCTCAAAAGAACAAAAATTAAATCCACCCTCCTAAACACTGATTGTTCTAAGCATACAACATGAAGTGACAGCCATGAAAACAGAACATGGACAGGGCTGAGGGTTTTCTGAGCGCTGGGTCTGGGCAGCAGTGGCAGCTCCAATTTCTGTTGCTACAGACCAATCAGCATACAAGAACTACATTCCTAAGGAAATATTTAAAAGGTAGGTTTCTAAACTAAATCTACAGGGCTATTTTTTCCCTTTCTAGAAGTACTGGGGATTCAACAAGGGCCTTCTGTATCCTAGGCAAGTGCTCTACCACTGAGCTACAGCCCTAGCCCTAATTCTTTGCTTTCTAAGGTGAGGTTTTGGTACACAAGAAAACAATGTGGTGTGGCAGTAAATGAGCCAGATGTAAAAGAAATAAATTGGGAAAATTTCTTATTCTGACAATACCTCTGAAATAAATGTCAGAGAACATTTAAGCATGGAACAGCAACACCATGGCTTGACAGAACGCTTTGCTTACACGTGTGAAAATGGAGCTATAATATCCTAAAAAGATATATTTAATAGCACTCAGCTCTTCTAGACCAGGCTGGCCTCGAACTCACAGAGATCCGCCTGCCTCTGCCTCCCAAGTGCTGGGATTAAAGGCGTGCGCCACCATCACCCGGCTCAAGGCAATTTAGAATGGTCTGAAAGTCAAATATTTAGGGTGTGTACACTCGAAATGGGACACAAACTAGTCAAAATACTAGTTTAAAATGTTTAACACAGTACAACTTAAATGTATAGCACACTTGCATGTACAATAAAAGAAAAAAGCAGGGGGGTGAACTTGTCTATAATTAAAACTTTATTGAAAAACTGACACCAAAATAGGAGATCACTGTTGTATACTTTATAAAATCAAACACAGTTACATTGTCTTGGTAGAGTCACTAAACTTGATAAGGCTTTCTGTGAAAAAACGCAAACTCAGGAACTTGTATAGATGTTTAGTGTTGCTTTCTTCTAAATGAACAGCCTGCAAAGGAATCAAGAGAGTGTATTAAACATCTTACTCTTTCTTTGGTGTGATTTTAGTAGTAAAAAGTGCTTTTTAAGTTAAAAAAAAAAAAAGCTTTAGGAATAGATTAATTAAACAAAGGAACATTAGATTTTAGGCAGAAAACTGAAGTTTCTGAGTATTATTAATATAAATTAATATATAATTTTGCTATAATAAATATTGTACAAGTTATTCAAATTATGTCATGGACTCTATCTGAGACTATAAACCCTACCCCAACAGTTCGCACTGTTTTGAAGATCTCTTATCTTTCTCCTCAGTCCCTTTCCTCTACTCAGTCTCCCACAAAGTTAGCTCTGGTTAGAGTTCTTCTCACAGGTTACAAATCTGCCGGATGCACTTTAACTTATCTGTTAGCATATGCATACAAACTCCCATGATCATGGCATGAAATAAGTTTCAGCAACCTGAAAGTGCTTATTAATAACAGTAGGCAATGTGTTTGTTTGTTTTGTTTTTTTGAGGCAGGATTATCTCTACATAGCCCCGGTTGCCCTGGATCAGGCTGAACTCATGGAGGCCACCTGCCTCTGCCTCCTAATTGCTAGGATTAAAGGCGTGCATCACCACAACCCATTCTAACATGCCTTACGTTGACTTTGGACTCTGATCTCTCCCAGTCACACCAAAAAGATCTTGGATTTACTGCTAGTGCATTTGTAACTCTTCCAGTGAAAATATGAAATTCACAGTTCCCCAAAATATCACAAGCAAATTTCAAGTATTATGGAATTATAAACCTGAATATATTATTATGAAAAATATGTACACAATTGTTTTTATTGTATTAAAGTGAAGTTAGAAAGTAAATTAAATTTTTAAATTTAGTATTAAATAGATGTCCATAAAAATAAAAAGGGGGGCATTTTAATTGGTACATCTGGGATATTTGTTCCTTACTTGGCAATGACAAAAGCAAAACAAAAAAACCTCTTTTATGCACTAACTGTATGAGAAATAAAATGTTTTAAAATCTCATTCTGACTTTTAAATTTATTTATTTTTTAATTTACTCCAAGTTAATTACACAAGGAGAATAAGAATGTAAGACTAAATATTCTAAAGTTAGAAAAACAATTGTAGTATCAAAGGCATAAGCAGCTTACCTATCTGAACAGAGGACTCTTTAAAGAGCCCACAATAAACCTTCTAAATCTTATTACTGGGTTAGAAAATGCCAAAGGCTATACCTTCTGTGAGCCTGGCTTTTCCTCCTGTGGGCTGGCACAGCACTGTTGAACAACCTACACAAAGAACCACTGTCTGAGCATGGCTGAAAACTGTAGTAATCTTGTAGCAGCCTAAAAACAAAACAAAACAAAAAAAAAAGGGGGGGGGGACAATACATTAAAAGTTTGCAAAGCAGATGAAAACAGAGTTCTGTCTCATCACGTAAATACATGCTGCTTCTACAATGAGCGATGCTTTTACACATTTCCTGTAAACCCTGGTCCCTGCTATGACAGCAGGTCACACATGGAACAAAGTATTTTTGAAGCCACTTAAGTTTTTTTTAAGATGAACTTTTATTAAACTTAGTATTTCTGAAACATTAACATTTCAGAATGCAACAGACACGTCATCTTTTTCAGGCTGTCTTCGGAGTTCGGTGTTTTACACATAGAGACTGTCTCCACTTTCACTGTCACGTTTTAAGTACTAAACAGCCACATATGGATGGATAATGGAAACCTCGGACAGCACAATTCGAGACTGGAGAATCAACATACTTTCACTGTACAGTGAAAAAGGAAAATCCATCACCTTAATGAACAGCTGGAAGACTTGAGTCTAACCTGGCTTCACCGGGCTCCCATATATTCCTAGTAAACCTTGAGTATGTTTATTTAAAATGTCCCTGCGACAATTCCGTGATGTCAATTCTATTCAACTGTAGATCCTCAGAAGCTTCCTTTCGGACAAGAAAATTTGAAAATTTACCTGGACATTTCACATCCATGAAGTAAGAATTTGGGCTCTGAACCAGCCGTTTCTTCTTATGTTTTTTCTTTTCGTCTTCCAAGGAAGGGTGTAAAAGGTCTCTTGCCAGCTGAGTAAAGAAGCATATTGTTACTGCTGGAGTCAAAGCACACTGGGGGCGGATTTAACCACAGGACGAACGCAAAGCAAGAGCAACAGGCATCCTCCGCAGAGGGACCACTTCCACCCATACTTTGCGTTCGCTGAGTCCTTGTCTTAGGACTTTACGGCGGTCGAGGCGCTTATGATAGAGAACCCCTTCTTCGTTCGGGTGGAAAGCCAGCAAAGCTAAGTAAGAACAAGACTCTGGCTCCGGCCCCCGGGAGGAAGCAGCGCAGCCGATCAGAGCAAGGCCGGGATGACCTCAGCCCCGGGGCTCCACACCCGATTGCCAGCACCGGGCTGCCTCGTGGCCGCCCAGGGTGGAACGACCGTTGTCAGCCGCTTCGAGGGCCGTTAGCGAGCAGAAGAAATGCCCCCCCTCCACCCCGCCTTTGGCTGGAAGCGACTCCCCATCCGCGACCCGCTCGCTCGCGCTCCGGCTAAGCAGGGCCAGCCACACCACGCCGCCCGGGCAAGTCGGGACAAGCCCGCCGCGCCCCAGCCCGCACCGCCAGCCGCGTGGATGGCCAGGAGACGCCGCGGGCTGAGCCGCCTGCCGAGGCGCGGGATGGAGAGAAAGCCCGAAAGAAAGTAACCCCGAACCCAAAGTGAAACACTTACAGGCATGGTGACGGCTCGGCCAGCACCGATGCTCCAGATCTCCGAGGTGAGGTGCTTGCTAGCGAGTGCTCAGCTACAACTTCCGGGGATAGAGGCGGCGAGGCGTAGTGGAGGGGAATGCGGGCGGGGCGGCCTCTCTAGGCTCCCGTCTCGGTGGTGCGGCTCCGGGAGTCCAGGTCTACCGAGGGTCTAAAGGGCTCCTGCTTTAAGCACCGCCCTGGACGCGGGCCAGGCTGGGGAGGCCACGAGGTCACAAGGCTATTGGGTCGTGGACGTTAGTCATTAGAGGGAAGCCAGACCTGAGGCGGCTCTCAGCCTGGCCTCCCTCTGTTCATTATGCGGGGCAGGAGGTGTGCATGGGGTCAGGCACAGGGAACAACAACAATATTCTCTGTTCTCTTCTTCTTCTTCTTCTTCTTCTTCTTCTTCTTCTTCTTCTTCTTCTTCTTCTTCTTCTTCTTCTTCTTCTTCTTCTTCTTCTTCTTCTTCTTCTTCTTCTTCTTCTT